TCTAGTAGTAAGGCCAGGAGCCCCTAGTAGCTTCTTGGTACTAGTAGCATGGCCAGGAGCCCCTAGTAGCGTACTTGTTCCTAGTAGTAAGGCCAGGAGCCCCTAGTAGCGTACTTGTTCCTAGTAGTAAGGCCAGGAGCCCCTAGTAGCATTCTTGTTCCTAGTAGTATGGCCAGGAGCCCCTAGTAGCGTCCTTGCTCCTAGTAGTAAGGCCAGGAGCCCGTAGTAGCATTCCTGTTCCTAGTAGTATGGCCAGAAGCGTTCTTGTTCCTAGTAGTATGGCCAGGAGCCCCTAGTAGCGTCCTTGCTCCTAGTAGTAAAGCCAGGAGCCCCTAGTAGCATTCTTGTTCCTAGTAGTATGGCCAGGAGCCCCTAGTAGCGTCCTTGCTCCTAGTAGTAAGGCCAGGAGCCCCTAGTAGCATTCCTGTTCCTAGTAGTATGGCCAGGAGCCCCTAGTAGCGCTCTTGTTATTACTTTGCAAACCTCGTACTTGTTCAGTTTCGCTGTTCTCTTCGGGGTCGGCTGAATCAGAGCAGTTTGCAGGCTGACTTGGAGGCTGACAGCAACTGTGGTCTTTTCAGTCGACTTGCTTTGCCAATTTGTAGCTTTAGCATGCTTTAGCCTCATTGGGAGTAACTGTAAAATTTGTGGATTGTATGAGAATGTATGCATATGCACGATGTCGTATTTCATGATTGTTACAGTACATTTAATGTTTGTTCCATGCTGTAAGTGTCGTCTGAGTCCGACTCTGCTCTGTTGTGTTTTGCGATCTCCAGGACCAGGGCCTCTCGGCTTTTGCGGAGCTGGAGTGGGGTTGTGAGACGAGCACAGAAAGCACACAAGAACGTCCACGTCAAAGTTGATTCGCCTTGACGACGTCAAGTCGTTTGTGACTTGTGGACCCGTTGTGTTTCTTCGCAACTCCGCAGGAGAATTTGGACTTCAAGGTTCACAGAGGCACCGGTGAGCTATCAGCCGACTCTGTGCTGAGGAGATTCGCAAAGCGATGCAGTATGATGCATGACTGTGTGAGACAGACATGGCAGACCTCACAAGAAACAGACGAAAATGCTCGCAGGATTGGTGAGAGCGAGAGTGGCATTTGGTCCTTTGTGAATTTGGGTGCCGAGCAAAGCCAGGAACTCATGCCCTTGCCTAAGAGGAGTCCACTTGAGTGAACACCGACCGAATCCGCTTTGCTTTCAAGTTGTGAGGGATCAGAGTGAGCTTATTTCTATGGCCGCTGGCACCTCTGGTCTTGGCGCCAAGAGGTGTGGAAATGGGCAGCGAGCAGCACCAAAGAGCGAAAGAGGATGAAATAGAGACATGAGACATTTGAGAAATTCGATTGAGAGAACGTCTCTCAATGTCCCTTTTGGCCAGGTCCTACAGGTCAGTCACAGCGATCGTTGGATCGTCTGGTGGAAAGGTCGTGAACTCAGATCAAAAATGCCGTAAGAGCCGAGATCAGCGCCCCGAGGTCGCAGAATGGAGCAACCTGGCTTTGGCTGGAAGGAGTTTTATGGGTCCGGGACTAGAATGCTGTCTTTTAAAGAAACGTGGTTCACGTTGAAACCTTGACCTGTCGAGAGGTTTGTTCCGGAACGCTTCCGCCACCTCGCCTGGTCGCTTCAAGATCTATGCCTTGGAACCTGCACAGGCGGAAAACACATCGCACTCGGATGTGCTTGATCAATTCAAGAGGATACAGAGGAAGGATGGATCCAAATGCAACAACATTAGGAATTTAACCTTGGTTTCTATGCATAGAAAACCCACAGAGGTTGATGCACCAGCTTTTCAACAGGTGGATTTCCTTTTGCTCACAAGAAAGAAAAACATGTGTTTGGAAATGAAACGCCTGCTTAGATGTTTGAAGATCAAACCATGTCATAAGCCATTAGCAATGGTTTAACAAGTCAAGTCAGGGTCCTGTGGCCTCAATCTATGAAGAAGGTTTCCTCGTTGTGGCGTACAGTGTGCAAGTTTGTTTGCAAAATTATTCAACTTTAACTGTTCACTTGTTACATAGAGCATTTTGGCATTGCTTTGGTGTTTGCTTGTCGCGTTGTGTAGCTTTGGGTCAGTCGTCAGGTGAGCATCACCACCATGAGAACCTCCGAGGTCAAGGCGACGGTCGGGAAGGTGACGAGGTGACAGCCAACACGGTCGAGTCGAACCGTGTTTTTGGTCCAAGTACACTGCCCGATCGAAGTGACGCTACGACGCTACGAAGGGGCTCCTGGCCTTACTACTAGGAGCAAGAGGACGCTACTAGTAACACAGGGCATCGCTATTAGTGACAAGAAGCTACTAGGGGCTCCTGGCCTTTAGTGAGAGCCTTTAGTCAGTCTGACAAAATTCGACACTTCAGCCCGAAGCAGTTTGGCTGCCTTGCGGAAAAGCAAACGGGAGCGGGTGGCTGCAATTCTTCAAAGCAATGAGACCTTCTTTCAAGCTTTACTCAAACTACATGTTGCCTTGGAACTTTTGCCCAGAACTTTTATGCGGGACCTTGCTTGGAACCTTCACACTTGCAAGGTGTAGTCGGAATCTGTGCTTACAACTGTTCAAACCTTTAGTCTTGCTCACTGAAGACCACTAGGAATGTTTACGCAGCGCTCCCAACCTTGGAATCGCACTCACAAGCTTCACAGAGCCATTTCCACAACCCGTGGAATCGTAACCCGTCGTAATCGGATTTGGGGGAGCCTTTCTGGGCTATTCCAAAACTAGCAGAGGTGAAGCTTTAAACAGTTGTATATAGCAATACGATTCAATAAATTGTTTGACAAGTCTCGCTTGCTTCATCTTGTTTCCAGTTAAAGTGGACAGATTCAGATTGGGCGGCGCAGAGTTTCACTGCAGGCTCAAGTCCTCGGTCGGAACGAGATCCAGCTGGGCACGCAGATATACTTGTAGGGCGGTGCTGTTCGTCAACTGTGCAATCGAGTACGTTAAGACGGTCAAGCTCTACCAGACGAGTGACAGAGAATTTCTGGGCTCATTATATAATATTGTATACCCATATTCACCCAACTCCCAAGGACCTTCGCGACTGAAGACAATGATGTCGTTCAGCTCTCAAGCACAGGCTTGCTGAGGGTGGTTTAGACGCTTGCCAAGACAAACAGAGTGATGGTCCCCTTGCCAGACATTCTGCAAATTCCCTTTAATCATGTTTAATTAGCATGTGCGACAAAACTACTCTGGACAGGACTAGATTCATGGATTCAAGGTGGATGCACCCCCTATGCATTTCCAACGAAACAAATCTCCAAAGTGTGTAGAGCTCAGACGAGCAAGGCACGTAGTTTAGAAGACCGTTGATGCAAAGCTGTTTCGGACGCACAGATGTCATCTTGTTTACCTTGTTTACCCCATTGCACATAACTTTCAGGCGACGTCATTGTGCAATCGATGGAAGAGTCTGCAGACTTCCTGCAGCTGGCACCTGTGGATGAGGTGAACGAGAGACGGGCTTCGAGGGGTTCGTTCCTAGATCCGAAAAGGCTGTCGGATTGGGTGTTTGTTTTGTATCCCGTATCCCCTTCGACCCTCAGAGCGTTCCGAAGGTGTCAGATTTGAGCAACTTCATGTTCATTCGAAATTACATGTTGTTTTTTTTGCTACAAGAGTTAATTACATGTGAGTGATTCCGTTAAAGCTCACCAGCTTTCCAGGGGCGCCTCGGCCATTTCGTACGCGCAAAAATCATTGGGTTGGCAATGGAGGGCGGGGTCAGCAAGCTAAGAGGACAGAGGAAAGAGCTCGAACACGAAAGCGAACCTAGTAGCTTCTTGTTACTAGTAGCTTCTTGCTCCTAGTAGTAAAGCCAGGAGACCCTAGTAGCGTCCTTGCTCCTAGCAGTAAGGCCAGGAGACCCTAGTAGCGTCCTTGCTTCTAGCAGCAAGGAGGCCATGAGCCCCTAGTAGCATCCTTGCTCCTAGTAGTAAGGCCAGGTAAGGCCAGGAGCCCCTAGTAGCATCCTTGCTCCTAGTAGTAAGGCCAGGAGCCCCTAGTAGTAAGGCCAGGAGCCCCTAGTAGCATCCTTGCTCCTAGTAGTAAGGCCAGGTAAGGCCAGGAGCCCCTAGTAGCGTCCTTGCTCCTAGTAGTAAGGCCAGGAGCCCCTAGTAGTAAGGCCAGGAGCCCCTAGTAGCGTCCTTGCTCCTAGTAGTAAGGCCAGGAGCCCCTAGTAGCGTCCTTGCTCCTAGTAGTCAGGCCAGGAGCCCCTAGTAGTAAGGCCAGGAGCCGCTAGCGAACCTTGTTACTAGGTGAGGTGTGAGTTGCAACGGACCTGAAAGCGGATGCGAAGCAAAGCCGAGACATGACGCATGCGCGAGCGAGACGTAACGAGTGGCGATGAGACGATGAGTCTGCCCTTGCGTGGGAGACGGCTTTAAGAACCGGTGCCCGAAAACATCCGATAACAAACAACCGTAAAACGGCAAACAACCGAAACAAACCCTGTCAAGGTCCTTGAAGCTTACGAAGCAAGAACCTGTGCTGGCCAACCTCTAGCTGCAGGGTTGAGAGTAATGACTCAGGCTCCTTGAAAAGGCTGTCAAACTACGTTTAAATATAACTTTCCGTATATCTTTGAATCACTGAAAGTCTCAAATTTGAACGAAGTGTAGAGCTTGGAGCGGGCCGCAACCGTCCATGGGCACCGGATTCCCGGTTTTGCTTCGCGCAAAATTTGGGCCGAAATGAGTTGGAACCAAGCATTCTTTTGGCTCATCTCAGATTGTTTAAGGCATTTTAGGAGAACGATTCGACTTAATAAAATGTCATGATTTTGAAAGTGTCTTTAGATAGTTTATGATATGATGTGTTTAAGAATTATATTGCTTCCCTGAGTGGATTGAAACAGTGAGCATGCAATTGACTCTTTGTATGATTTATGTCACTTTTGCCTGCAGGAGTTGCGTTGCCTCCACACAAATGCCTCAATGCACAATGTATGGGGAGCTGAAACAAACTAGAAGGAATGGCCTCCAAACTAATAGCAATGGCCTCCGCCCTACAATATAAGATCATTTTGACCGCTACAGTCGATAGATTCAGGGACAAGTCATTAGAGACTGCAAAATGTTTCTGAGTATTCATGGAGTTGGTTAATTTAATAGTGTTTGTTTGTTTGTTTGTTTTTAAGTAGATGTTCAAGCACTATTGACACTATTGACAACTAGCATTGCGCTGCACTGGTACTTGCTGGGCAATTGCCGATCACATCCGATCACCAATTAAACAATTGGTCGCAATTCGAACCACCGGGATCTACCGCGGCCGCCAAAGCAACCTGCTCAATCCTTCCAAAGCAGACGCACCTGAAAGCCAAGTGACAACTCTGAAAAGGACTCAAGAACTGAATAGATCCAACAATAGCGTGGAGGCTGGAGAAAGTAATGAGAGATACATGGCTCATGGAGGTACTGAAACCTGAAGCCTGAACACCATGCTGAAATGTAGCTCTCTTAGATCGTTGGAGGCCATCGCTGGTAGGTTGGAGGCCATCGCTATATCCCGCTCCTGTAGGCGCATTTTAGCGCCCGATACACCTTCGTATGCTGCCGCTGATTACCATAGCTTATGCTCGGGTGTAGCACGTGGTCCTGGCGTTCATCTCTTCTTCCTTGCTCTCAATCCTTGAGTTTTTCTTCGCTTTCAAGAGTTTCGCAGTGTCCAATCCAAACGCGCCACATTAAGGTGCTCCATCAATTCTTGCGCTGATTGAAGAGCATGTGGAAACATATCGTGAGCCAAAAGGGAAAACAGCAGGTCCAACATGTGCAACATTTGCTGTAGCAGGTCTTCATGTTGAATTATGGCCCGTCGAAATGGGACAGATGCAAGAGAGAAAGTTTCAGTCAACGCCTGTAAAGTCTACTTTGTATTCAGTCTACTCTGTATTGCATGTGGGGCTGCCTCTAGATAGCTTTCTTTCACCTCACTTGCCAGCAAATTGCTGAGATGTGTGTGTGTGTGTGTTTGTGTTGCACACTGCGCAAGGCCATCTACGGATATTGCCACGAGCTGTGTGCAATTATGGCCTTTGATCGTGAGGAGTGGCAAGTGAAACGCAGTTTTCTCATTTGCCCCATCCAACGCAGAAGCTCCCTTTCCAGTTTCGTCAGGCAAGCCTATTGACCGAAGAATGCGCAGATGGAAGTACGAGAAGCTATGATAAGAGCAGCATGATCGAAGAGACCTATTGGACTCTTGCCAGACTTCGGGGAATGGGAGGGAATGTGGAGGGATGGATCATTGATCCAGACTCGATGATCCGATTCTTCGAAGCACATCACTCTTCTGCTTGCAGAGCTGGTAGAATGGTTCTTGCACCAAGAAAGACTTTGAGTGCGCTGTGCTTGTGTTGGCTTTCAGGAGCGTCACGGTCGGCAAAGCGTGCCGCTGGCGCAGCTCAGATGGTCTTGCGCTTAAGATGTTATGAAACATCTCAGCAAGTGAAGTCCTAGAGGAACATGAATGTAATTTGTCCAAAAAAACATTACACCAACATAGACCCAGATAGCTAGGCAGAATCCCACGACCTGTTGACATGCGACTGGCTGACTGGCTGGAACAAGAATGCACGAAGCCTGCACAGCCAGCTTACGGCGCCTCCACAGCGCGCACAACCAGCTGACACCAGCACCGGTGCGCTTTGCCAGCTGACAACACCGGCAGCAGCACCAGCACCTGACCAGCGCCGCCGCCCGTGTTAAACGCTCAGCCAGCTCACAGCACCAGCACCCAGGACCACAACACCAGCACCACCACCGACACCCTTTCAAAAGCGCGCGCAGCCAGCTCATTCTTGTTTGCAGTAAGAGCCCCATAGCTATCCCTATTTAAGGGAATAACAACGCATGATCTTTGCGCATATAAGTTTATGCGCGCAAACAGCACAGCCCGTAAGTGTCATTGGCCCAAGGCCAAGCAGTGTCCAGCGCCACTGTTGATTTTGTAGCATGCTTGAAGCAACGATCTGTAGAACGATAAGGCCGTATGATCTTGCGCGTACAAGTTTATGCGCGCAAAAGTATGCGCGCAAACGGCAAAGCCCGTAGGTTTCACTCGCCCAAGGCCAAGCAATATCCAGCACGACTATTGTGTGTGTGTGTAGCATGCTGAAACATGCTGAAACAATGGTCGGTTCAGAGCCTGACGTTGCGCGTAGAACATTATACGTACAAAAGTATGCGCGTAAACAGTACAGCCCTTGACACAGCTGTCGGCCAGAACACAACCTGAAGAAGGTAAATACCCCACAGCGCTAATAGACAAAAAACGCTCAAGCGACAACACCGTATAATGTTGCGTGCGTGCAGCCAGCTCACAGCACCAGCACCAGCAGCGGCACCCACCCAACACCGGCACCATGTCTCCACCACGCGCGCAGCCAGCTCACAGCACGCGCCCGGCACCCGGCACCACCAGCACCGGCGCCCTGCGCCCAGCACCAGCACCGGTGCCAGCAACCTGTCTCTACCACGTGCACAGCCAGCTCACAGCACCAGCACAGGCTCACAGCACCAGGAGTAGCACTGGCACCCGCGCCCAGCACCAGCACCGGCACCCGCCACCAGCACCATCAACCTGTCTCTACCACGCGCACAGCCAGCTCACAGCACCAGCACCGGCGCCCGGCGCCCAGCACCAGCAACCTGTCTCCACCACGTGCAACCAGCTCACAGCACCAGCGTGCACAGCCAGCTCACAGCACCAGCACCGGCACCCGGCACCAGCACCAGCAACCTGTCTCGAAAGCGAGGGCAACTCATTGTTGTTTGAAGTAAGAACCCCATAGCTTCGCTATCTGGGGAATTACATGTAGAAGATGCCTGACTGAAATGCATGTCGCACTGGTACAATGATGTACACACTTGCAGACACTTGCATGTGTTTTTCAGTCAAGACAAATTTTTACATGTTCACCAATTTCACCAAGGCTCTAAGATCGCTGGGACGTCCCGATCAGATGGACCAAACCGAGTCTCCATCTCCTTGTTGCCAGCGATCTATTTTCAGGAGAAAACTAAGTTTTCATCACTTGCACTTCTTCTTTTATATATACATACATACATACATACATACTGATGTTCATGACGCGCACTTTTTTGCCACACTGCCAATGTATTATTCTAGATGTAGAGTGCACCAGTCCAACTCACTCAGCACCTGCAAGGTCCTACAAGAAGTGCAACACTGGTCCTACAAATGGTTCAATCTCATCATTTCATCATCTATGTTTCACGTTGCTGTTTGCTATCTTCAGGAGACAACGCTCTTCCCTTTGGCCTTGCAATCTGTGAAGTTCATTGGCACAGAGCCAACCACTTGCCAGGCCACAGAAGTTTCATTTGCACGCGCTACCTTGTTGAGGGCTGTGAAAGCTCCAGCAAGGAAACCTTGAGTTGCTGTTGCGCTTAGCCATGTCGTTTGGTTTTGGATACGCTTGAAGATGGCAAAGAGACGAGGAGAGGGCCAGAAATAGCTGTTGAGAGACTCTAGCAATGAAAGCAAAGTCTTGCAACGCTAAGAATTGTTGATCCTGCAATGCTTTACACGATCAATCTAGCAAAATGCATATATTGATGGAGCTTACTGTTTAGCTTCGTATGTAACTATGTAACAAGTGCAACGCAAATGTGCAAATGCTTCCATGACACATTGGTCCTTGTTGCCCTGCTGCGCGCATCTTCGCAGCAAAGGTGGATGGCCACGAGTTCACTCTCTCAGGGAGCAACTCTGCAGCTTGGTTTTAGACACACCACCAACTAGGTACACGTTCTTCTTTGATGTTTTTCTTTTACTTTTAGCCTGCTCCTTCCCTCTCTACTTATATAATTAAGTAAGGGAGCATAAGGATAAAGTAGCTTGCTACTAGGCTGATTTAAGTTAGCTACTTCATACTGGGCGCAGGATAGCTCACGCTTCTTCAAGGAAGCTCCCCCCGCCTGAGGATGGGGGTAGCTTCCTTGAAGAAGCACTCGCACTAATGATTTGGTTCCTAGGTTTCTAGGGAAACATAATTAATAACAAGAAGCTACTAGGGGCTTCTGGCCTTACTACTAGGAGCACGGACGCTACTAGGGTCTCCTGGCCTTACTACTAGGAGCAAGGACGCTACTGGGGGCTTGTGGCCTTACTACTAGGAGCAAGGACGCTACTAGGGTCTCCTGGCCTTACTACTAGGAGCAAGGACGCTACTAGGGGCTTGTGGCCTTACTACTAGGAGCAAGGACGCTACTAGGGTCTCCTGGCCTTACTACTAGGAGCAAGGACGCTACTAGGGGCTTCTGGCCTTACTACTAGTAACAAGAAGCTACTAGGGGCTTCTGGCCATACTACTAGCAACAAGAAGCTACTAGGGGCTTCTGGCCTTACTACTAGGAGCAAGGACGCTAGTAGGAACAAGAAGCTACTGGGGGGCTCCTGGCCTTACTACTAGGAGCAAGGCTACTAGGTGCTCCTGGCCATACTACTAGCAACAAGAAGCTACTAGGGGCTCCTGGCCATACTATTAGCAACAAGAAGCTACTAGGCGCTTCTGGCCTTACTGCTAGGAGCAAGGACGCTACTAGGAACAAGAAGCTACTGGGGGCTCCTGGCCTTACCACTGGGAGCAAGAACGCTACTAGGGGCTCCTGGCCATACTACTAGCAACAAGAAGCTACTAGGGGCCCCTGGCCATACTACTAGCAACAAGAAGCTACTAGGGGCTTCTGGCCTCACCACTAGGAGCAAGGACGCTACTAGGGGCTCCTGGCCTTACTACTAGGAGCAAGGACGCTACTAGGGGCTCCTGGCCTTACTAGTAGGAGTCAGTCCTGTAGGAGCAAGAACCCTACTAGGGGCTCCTGGCCATACTACTAGTAACAAGCAGCTACTAGGGGTTCCTGGCCTTACTACTAGGAGCAAGGACGCCACTAGGGGCTCCTGGCCATACTACTAGTAACAAGAAGCTACTAGGGGCTCCTGACC